GCTCTTCACACATACATCAATGGACCTTCGCTCTGATATCTTCTCTTTCCTCCTTTCTTTCCTACACGCTCGTGATCTTCTGTCTCGCTCTCGACTATCACTGCGCCTCATAGGGGAACAGAAAGAAACGAAATTGGTCAGACATGCATTACATCGATTATCCTGGATCGTCGAGTGAGTGAGATCACAGTGATTGGTGAACTTCTTTGACTGATGAATAGTACTATCTGGATGTGGATAAATGAGAGCGTAATAGATGGTATGATCCTAGAGTATAAGGAGAAGCTGGCGAGATCGACGAATTTTGGGGAGATGATAAAGCTCGAACTTGATCAGTGAGTCTATTCCCTTCTACTCTTCCCCATGTCTTCATCCATAAATGTTGTTTGTGCGACCCCGTGTCATTCCCAAAGTCATGGAACTACGATCATCATGGCATATCTCGCAACATCTCATAAATGATTGTCTACCTCTATGTAATTTCATTCTCACCCATGATGACTTGTGTACTCCCTCTTGGGTCTTTGTTGGCTTTACTTGCCATCGTCACGCGATTCACTCTCAAACAAGGAGCCGGGGGAGAGTCCAGAGCGTCTATTCTTATCGGACCAAAAGAAGACAGACTCGTTGAAGGAATGACGAACCTGTTCGCAGGTCACAGCAGGTCTTGAGTCCGGTCTGTAGATCGTGAGAATGGAATCGTATGACTGATAAAGCAGTACAAGACAATTACGTCATTTCTGTTTCCTTCATGAAACCGTCAGTTTTCTTTCACTCATAGTTATACAATAGACTGATCGGTAGACATCAGGAATGAACCATTCTCTATCCCATCTCCTGGATTTATGTTTAGACTTGTTCCTATCCATCTCTTCTTTCACCACCTCTACTTCCACCTCTACCTCTAACATTACCATTCCGATTCCGTCAAAATCTATAAATGAAAAGACCAAAAAACCGGTATATGTACAAGGCCGATCTCGTCGACGACTTAGAAGAGCTAAGATGATCTTGTCTGATTCAGAAACGGACTCGGAAGAGTGTGATAATCCGATGGAGGAGGGGATTGTGTATCTTGACCAAAGTGAGAAAGTGGGGGTCGATCATGAACCTATCAAAGGAAGAATGAAGGTATGGATGGAAGAAATGGACGAACATGTTATTTATCTCATTAATGGGGTTGAGGAATTATCTGGGATGTCAGAACGTCATGGTGAGATCTGGGTGACGTTGAATGAATTATTAAAAGATTGGAAATGATGTCAGAATTGTATTTGAAGAGGAATCATGATTTTCTAAAAAGACATTATTTGTAATGAGATTAATTTCTAGATACACAAAACTACACGTATTGTTGAAGAGTAAAATGATTGTATAAGTTGGGGAAAAGTTGTAGAAGCGTAGTTGAAATGGATTAAGTCATACGAATATTTAAAGTAATTAGGTAGATCAAAGATAGTCGTAAGGTACTGTATAATGAATCAAAAGTTATTATGCTGATTGTTATACTTGTACTGAATTTCTGCATGATCATCAATACACCTTACGTCTTATGTTACAAATACAAACACGAACACGAACACGAATCAAAATCCTATATCAGACATGTTATTACCTACCCCTCTTAATCCCAAAGGAGCTATAACATTTTCGACATGTTTACCTTTTTCCAATTCCTTTACTATCCTCTTCAAGTAATCCGGTCGGATACCTAATTCCGAATTTATGTTATTGAGTTCTGTACTGAGGTAAGAAGACATTTGAGCGGTTTGTAAGAGTTGCTTTGGTGAAGGGAGAGGGGGAGGAAGGAATGTTATGGATTTGGAAGAATGAGATATTTGAGCTTGGAGTGAATTTGATTGGATCTGTAATGTATCAGATCAGTCAAGTCACGATTGATCATCTCAGTCTGTCGATTTTTTTCTCAGAGATGGGTTGAGGGTGATACCAAAGTCAAATTTCTCACGAGGAA